TTTTTTTAAGTCAGTAGAATTATTCTGATAGTCTGTATCCACCGTGATGGTGGGTTCATCCCCAAGAGTAAAGGCTAATGTAAATGATATGTTTGGGGAGGCTATGCTATGTCAATGTCAGTTAGAACAAATGGTCCACTTTGCTTGGGGATGTTGATACTAGGGAAGGTGTTATTATGCTTTTGATTATGGTGCTGGGATCCAGGCCCAGACCTCACACATGGGACTCTATTGTTGTTGACGTGTCTAGCCTGAGGTGGTATTTTGTGTGAGGATTGGCGGAATATGGGAAGTCTGTACTTTTCATTCACTTTTTACCATGAAGCTAAAACAAATAAAGCTTCCCTAAACATTAGAAAACAAATTAAAATTATTCTGGAAACAATAAGTATAAATTTAGCGTAGGAGAATTTTTTTTTTCTGGGATCTAATTATCTGTAGATGGGAAAGATGTAAATATGTCAAATGAGGACACTTCCTTACTTTCCCCACAAACTACAGTTGAACTATTTTCAGAATAAAATTCTAGAGATTTTACCTGGGATTAAACATAGGTTGGGTGAGTGCCTCTCAAAAATGGAAATACTCTGGGCTGTTGATATGATTTTGCAATTTGTCCTGTGATTGAGGTTACCAGTGCGGGGAGGTGGTCTTTTGCCCAGTCTAGCTTTTTCCAGTGCCAACATGGACAACTTTAGCAGTGCCTTCCTCCAGCTTCACTTGCCATCAGGTACTAAGGCCTATCGGGGCTGAGCATCCTCCACCCAGATCCTCTAAATTCCAGTAGGCGGGGGTCACACCCACCAACTGGCCCCCTGGCGCTGTGAAATCCCATCAACGGCCAAGACTCAGAGACTATAAAACCCAGCTCCCGGAAGACATTTTATTATCTCATTCCTATTTTGGACAACCTGGCAGGCTACTGAATATAACCTGCCCACACCGCAGAGTCTGGCAAACTCCCCGTGGCGTACCCAATATGCCAAATACCAGTATCAATGATGGATCTCATTCTCCTAACCCTGAAAGAGCCTTGAATATGACACTTTTTAAAAAATCTCATGGCTAGGACGAAGGAGACGTTACTGGGGCCTGCTCGAGGCAATCGACTAACAACAGGATGGTCGTGATCGTGACTAAGGCCTAAACGCAACACGTGTGAGTCTCACAGAGAAGCTGTTTACAATCTATATGTTCTAAAAACAACCCCCCCCCCCCGGACTAGAAAAGGAAATGATCAAGAGGTACAGAGTTTATTACTTCTTCATTAGTGATACAGATCTATTGACCATTCCAACTAGCTGTTGATAAATGGAATTGATTGCTTTCAGATGTGAACTTTTCCATGCCAGTAAGAAATTATTGTTTTTAATTTTGAAAAAAAATACAATTAGCCATTACTTAATGACATTTTGGTGACTGACAGATCTAAGATATGACAGAGGTCCCAACAGACTATACAACATGGCCTCGATGTGAGATAGATAGTACAGACCAGCTTTGAGCCCAAATGGGCACAATTTAGCCATATAAGATAATACTTTGTGAAGTATTCCCCTTCCCTTAACCAAAGTTTTTAATTTGACAATCCCCAAAGCATAACTCATTTTATGGATTTTGACTACAATAACAGTGAACATTTGTTCAAGTGTTTACTATTAGTGTTTTTCTCTTGAAAATTGCATATTGTATTATTTTACATAGTTTTCTATTAGAATTTCCTTTTCTTGTTGACTAATAAAAGCCACATTACAACATGAAATCTTTTATCCCTGTCTTTCATAATGTAAAGTCTTCTTTCCATTCTTACTGTTTATGGTGGGATTTTAGAAATACATTGATACCTTTGTCTTTCTGCTTTTCATGTTTAATTTAGCTGTCACTAATATGATATTACAATACACCTGTCTTTGAAGGTTCTTAAAAGGAGAGCTTTATCTCCCCAAACCTTCTATGCAAATATCTGTGTAAAGTTGTAAAAAGTTCATCTTAGTTGATCATCAGCACAAATGTTTGTCTTGTAGGCAAACATTTGTATATTAAAGCAAACTTACAATTTACTATGAATTAGCTAAAAATGGTTGAGGTGGATTTCAAAAAATCTGTTTAAAGAATTTTTTTGTCTGTATACCACCAATTATGAAATCTTATTTCAAAGAATTAATCATATCTAATGGTTTTATCTTCAGATTATGTCATTCAGCTGAAGAGCCAAGGTATGCAGAGTCCATGCTTTAGAACAAAAGGGTATTTTTCTTTAACTTGTAAATAAAAGTGATTTTTCTTCAGCTATAAAAGGACAAGGGCTTTGAAATGATCCCCCTGGGCAGAATTTCCTAGGTCTCCTCCCACTCTTCCTACTTCTTGGCCGTGTCACTAACCTAGTGTCATCTATACGTCTGTTTTGTAGCAGTGTGAAGAGTTTGCTTCATACTAAAAAGTATGAGATGAGAAAGGGCCATTGCAAACCACAATCAGCACACAGGAAGAACTATAAACTAACTACTTTTTTAAAAAGTATCTTCAAAGTTCTATGCTTTCCCTTTTTGAAGAAAATAATTTGATGCTGAATGAGACTAGAAGAGGAAATGGCACTTAACTTTAGCAAGAGGTTCTCAAAGTTATTTAACTAGCCAACACAGTTTTAACCCATTTTTAAAAATGTATTTATTTATTTTGAATACTCATCCCTCCACCAGTGACCATTTCCCACCACCACAGATCCCAGTATCCCTCCCACACCCCACCCTCCCCAACCCAGGCAGGCCTTTTGTTCTCTCTCTCCTATTGGGTGTTGTGGTTTGTATAAGAGTTAAGCCTGATTTTCAGGGAGAAACGTTGGATGATTTACTTTAAGTTGATCACTTTGTATATAGCGAGATGTCACGCAGTCACATAAGCAGCCTCACGGTTTGGAGGAAAAGTCCTGGTTCCTGCATACTCGAGCTATGCTTGTAGAGGCTCCTGGTCACCGGGGTTCCATCTGGAGGAGCCGTGTTTTAACCCGTTTTAAAAAGTTATTTAATTCGTTTTCTTTTTATGATTTGATTACTTGAATCAGAACATGAATGTCTATAGTGTTGCAGTTGGTTGATAGATCTCGATTAATCCCTCGGTCTTATATTTTTTTCCTTGTAATTTGTTTTCCTAAAGAAACTGGATCTCCAAATCTAAAATTTACTGATAGTACGTCTGTTTTGTCACTTAACACATTTCTTTGTCCTCTAAATCCCCTATAAATTTTTAACAACTGATCTAATTTTGTTATTAATTAAATCTTTTTTTCCTAATCTCTCTGATGGATAGCAAAAAGAATTATGTTTCTCTTTGGTCAAGAAAAGACAAAGAAGAATCTAACCACACACACACAAAAAAAACAGACCTAGTTATCATCAAGGCAAAATCATTAGTGACTCAAGGATGACTATGTAAGTGGTTGATAAAATTAAGGTGTTCACTAACTCTGTTACTAAATAACAATAAATAAATCAATAAAATAAAACTTGAATTGGCAAATATATACTGAATAACCTTCATTTGTTATATATATATATATATATATATCTGACATATGAGACACATGTATGCATACATCCTCAAACCATCTACCCTACAAAGAGAAAACAAATTTTTCTTAAATGCACACAGAAAATTTAATTTTTAATTGACCTGTTTGATTTTATTTGAGAGGGCATCCCTACACTGAAGTGCTTGAAGTCAAAGTGTGGGTGAGATGTGGGTCACGCCTTGCTGGGTATCACTTCATGGAGCTAACTCCGCCAATCTGTGTCATTTCCAAACACCACCGCCCCAAATGACCTCCAACCCAGAAAACATGACTTTATCCTCTTGGAATTCTGGAGACCAGAAGTCAAAACTCAAGGTGTGCAGACTGGAGACTCTGGGAAAAACTCCTTCTGGCCTGTCCGTTTCTGGAGGCTTCGTTTGTTTCTTAGCAGGTGGCAACATAACTTCAGTCTATGTTGTTGTCTTTGAGTAGCACACATCTCTCTGTGTTTCTCCTTGTCTTCTCTTGTTTTCTCCTCTTAACACTTGTGATTGGATCTCGGGTTCACCTGGACAATCCAGGATGATTTTATTACATATACTTGACTTTATGTTTACAGAGACTTTGCCCAAATAACGTCACATTCACAGGTTTGGGATAGCTTCATTCAACCATGGAGGGAGCACCTTTCAATCATAGAGCTACCTCTGCTAAAAATATTAGCTATGGTCACACTTTGTGACAGCATCACCTCAGTCCATTTTCTTCTGAGCCATTTTCTTCTTTCTTCATTTGATGGATCCTTCAGTTGTATTTGACTTTTTTGTTGTTGTTGTTGCTGCCTATATTCAACAACTTGAATCAAGTTTCTTGAGTAAAGAGCTATTTTATTTTTATTTATTCTTTTGGGGGGGGTCATACCTGGCGATGCACAGGGGTTACTCCTGGCTCTGCACTCAAGAGTTACTCCTGGCGGTGCTCAGGGGACCATATGGGATGCTGGGAATCAAACCCCGGTCGACTGCGTGCAAAGCAAACGCCCTACCCTCTGTGCTATCTCTTCAGCCCCAAGAGCGATTTCAAAGGGCCAGAGAACTAGTGTAGTGGGTAGGGCATTTGCCTTGCACATGGCTGAACTGAGTTCTATCTCTGGCACTCCATATAGTCCCCCAACCCCTGCCAAGAGTGATCCTTGAGTGCAGAGTCAGGAATAAACCATGTTGAGTGTGACGTTCCCCACAGCACATCGTGTTCACTTTTCCCTTTGTCCCTTTGACAGTTTTCAGGACTTTTAGTTTCTAATATTATTTTATGTTACTTGAATTTCAGAGGCAAGTTTTTGAAAGTGCAAGTATATATGGGATATGTCTTTAAAACCATGGGAACATATTTCCAACCACTTCAATACAATCCTCACTCACTAACTGATCTTTGTCATTTAGCTTTTATTTTTCCTGTGGGAGCTAATCCTAGCTATTTCTTTTTCTTCCAGGCTCTGATCATCTTCGTGAGAAAGATGGCCTCTGGGCTGTCTTGGTCTGGCTCTCCATTCTTGCTGCCCGGAAGCAAGGTGTGGAGGAAATTGTCCGAGATCACTGGGCCAAATTTGGCCGTCACTACTATTGCAGGTGAGAAGGATCAGGGTCTCTGTATGGACCTTGGGGATCTATTTTGAGAGATATTTTCTAAATATGGTAGCTAGAAACATCAGGCGAGATCTTCAGGCAAAAGTGAGGCACACACAGGCTGGCACCAGATCATCCCTGACAGAGGTTAAAGGTGTTGCCAGGACTCAGTGACTGTAAGGTGGGAAAGCGAATCTCTTAAAGAGAATTTATCCCATGAGAAAGTGAACAGAAGAGCCTTCGCGTGTGTTTTAGCACCTCTGAGAGTAGTGCAGCAAATCAGGAGCTTTCCTGTTGTTTTTCAACTTATAATTATCAATAAAGAAGAAAAGAAATGGGGAAAAAAGCTCTGTTAGATTGTGTCATCCTCTCCCTACCCTTATCTTTCTTCCTTGAAGAATGTTAAGAAATTTAAGCTGAAAAGAAAAAAAAAAGAAATTTAAGCTGATATCCTCTAAAAGGCCATACAGTTGATTCTGCTAAAGTTCTGGCTCTATTAGTGGAGGGACCAGCAAGCCAGATATTAAGGAGAGGTTGATGGTCAGAAGATGGTGGTCTCTACAGGAGTTAAGGTTCCCTATAATTTTTGCTTGAAAATTCAAGTTGGAAGGACTTGAAGGATAGCAAAAAAGGAGTAGTTGATACTATGGTTAGCTAGGTCCTTGAAGGTGAGGAAGATTTCACACTTACAAGGTGTACAGACATGATTATTGGGACACCAAGAAAAATTATGAAAATGTAATAGAAAGCCTGAAAGTAGAACGTGGTCCTAAGTACCCAGAAGCTTCTCCATCAGTTAGATTCATAACCATAATATTAATTATATGAATGCAATAAATAATTCCAGTGGAATGGCAGATGCAAAGAGTGTACCAGTATTAGCAAAATGGCAAAACTAATATTGCATTAAAGCTGTACTTCAAGAGCTAAGATATCTAATGATGCCAAAGAAAATACAAAACTTCTATAGTCAAGAGAAGAACAAACATACAATTAATTTTAATGGATCTCAAATTTGTCTTAAATCAACAACCTTCTACTCATGTTAATGTCTTGATTAAATATTACAATACAAACTACCCACACATTAAATTAAAGAATTACAGCTGACAAAACATGACCTGGACATTTATAAGAAGGTTATATACCCAGTATGTTTTCAGGTAACAGGAGGAAAGATATAGTACAATTTTTTTTTCTCTTGTTAAGACACTGTCATTTAGGCATCAACCTGAAGTGCTCAAAAATAGAATTCAGGTTTACAATGGGAAAGCAAGGTGAAAAGGGTCAGATGACTGGGAAGCATGGATATTTCTGAAAAGTCAATTTCTCAAGAAGGAAAACCAGAAATGGCATGCATTTTTTATTCATCTTAGTGAAAGCTACAATTTAAATTGTCTAAAGTCGCAGGTAAAATGAATATTGTCAAAAGTTGTGTTGAGTATTAAAGCAGTATGGTTGCTGACTAGTAGTAGCATCAAAATTAAGTTCAGAATTTCTTTGATACTGAATTCATAATTTTTAAAAAATGTGTGGAATCAAGTAGAAAATCTCCAACCCGATCAAAAAATGGGGTGATGAAATGAACAGAAACTTTCTCAAAGAAGAAATCCGAATGGCTAAAAGACACATGAGAAAATGCTCTACATCATTAATCATCAGGGAGATGCAGATCAAAACCACAATGAGATATCATGTCACACCACAGAGACTGGCCCACATCCACAAGAACAAAAGCAACCAGTGCTGGCGCGGATGTGGCGAGAAAGGGACCCTTCTTTACTGCTGGTGGGAATGCCGACTGGTTCAGCCCTTTTGGAAAACAGTACGGATGATACTCAAAAAATTAGAAACTGAGCTCCCATTTGACCCAGAAATACCACTCCTGGGAATATATCCCAGAGAAGCAAAAAAGTATAGTCGAAGTGACATCTGCACTTGTTTGTTCATTGCAGCACTCTTTACAATAGCCAGGATCTGAAAAAATAAAACCTGAGTGCTCGAGAATAGATGGTTAAAGAAACTTTGGTACATCTACGCAATGGAGTACTATGTAGCTGTTAGAAAAGATGAAGTCATGAAATTTACATACAAGTGGTACTACATGGAAAGTATCATGCTAAGTGAAATGAGTCAGAAAGAGAGGGACAGACATAGAAAGATTGCATTCATCTGGGGAACAAAATAGGAGATTAACACCCAAGAATGGCCGAGATTAGTACCAGGAATTTTGCTCCATGGCTTGGAGGCCAACCACACATGCTAGGGGAAAAGGCAGCTCAGATAGAGAAGGGAGCACCAAACAAAGGGTCTTGGGAGCATCCTCCCAGGATGGGAGAAGCATACTGAAAGTAGACTGTAGACCAAACATGATTGCCACCCAATGCCTCTCTTGCAAACCACAGCACCCAAAAGGAGAGAGAGAACAAAAGGGAATGCCCTGCCACAGAGGCAGGGTGGGATGGGAGGTGGGGGGTGGGAGGGATACTGGGATCCGTGGTGGTGAGAAATGGGCACTGGTGGAGGGATGGGTATTTGATCATTGTATAATTGAAACCCAAGCACAAAATTTGTAAGTCTACAACTGTACCTCATGGTGTCTCACTAATAAAAATGAAAAAAAAAGTGAAAAAAATGTGTGGAGAGGTGAATGAATTTCTGTTAAAAGCGTTCCTGAGAGTTCCGTGTAACAGACATGGTAAATACTTGTTTACAGTCTTTGACAAACCATGCATAAAAGTTTCAATGATGTCAACATAAAGGAAATAGGTGTATGCTATATGATTTTGGGATTAAAGCTTGTCTTTAAATGTAAAGAAAATGTGGAACATGTCTGGGGGGGGGCAAAAAAGGCTGGAGGTCTCTTAACAGGTTTTTGTTGTTGAAGAAAGTGAGACCAGTTCGAGATTCTGGGTTATGTAGCTGCTGACTAGGAGTTGTATTGGAATCTACTAGGTACCTGGGCTTTTACCAATCCCTGGCATGGGGGTGTAACTGTAGGAATGAACTTTGAGAAGGGGTAAGGAAATTCTTGGATTGTCTCAGAAATGTTCTCTGTGTATGAAGAGATTGTGGTACATTTACTTTATGAAGAGTTATGTAGTTTGAATGTTTAGTTGTGTTTTGAAATCTTGAAGGATAGAAAACTTTGGATTTCCCTTATAAGGTTATTGTTTCTTCTTTTAAGAAGTCATTTACTAGTTTACTTAGATAAACATCAGAGAGTTAAGGAAGCCTCTTAGTACTAATAAAATCAAAGTGACTGTAATGCTCTGCGGAATGTCGGCAATGCCATAATATTTTTATTTCTGCTTAGTTTAGAAGGTTACAAGTAGGTATGGTGGCCTGCAAACTCCCGAGTCTTTTCTTTCTATCCTAACACAAGGACTTTCCACGCAGGTGGAAACTTGTTTCATTCACTGGTATTTGTAGTAAGTGTATAAAATATACTAAGTTTCATTTTTGGCAAACCAAAGGGCTAATTGGCACAGCGAGTCCTTTCATTGCATGAAACTGTTTAAGAATGTTCAGCCTGATAAAATGTATTATGATTGCCAATCTCTGGCTCAGCAAGATCAGTTCGAGTTCAGGATGTGTTCCTCATAATTTGTGGAATGATTTTCTCGCTTTCTGCCAGTGTTTTGAAGACATGGTGTTATGATAAGTGTATTTATAATATAGATCATTTTTCTGGCTAAGAGCTTACATAATAATTAGTTTCTTCATAACAAATACCATATTAGAGAATAATATGCAGTGGGGATTTAAATTCTTGTGTGTCACCAAATTATATTTCAGATTTCTTGCCAAAAAAGATCACAGAGATAAAATAAAAGGGAGGAATGAAAAGGTAGAACGAAAGTAAACATTTCCTTTAGCATTACGCAAACACAGGGTCAACAGTGCCTACAAAGCTAAGTGATTTCTAGCCTGAAACTTTTCTTAGCAGGGAAGAGATAATACCAGGCTTCAGGTTGTGTCTTCTGAGTATTTTCCTGGCATCAGTGAACCTCTGACAGTATTCTCCACTGAAAGCTCCTGTCCGTGAAAGTATATTCGTGGTGAAGGTGGTTAAAGAGGTCTTTCTGGAGGTGTGAGAGAGTAGTAACTTAATGCTAGTAGGAGTAGCAGCAGCATTAAAGTAGTGGCGATGGTGATGGTGATGGTGATGTTGGGATAGATATAACAGTTCCACCTCTATGAAGAGAACTTGGGTGGACTAATGACTTCAGTTACAGACATGGATGATCACATTAGTGGATTTTATCAACTTTTGGATCTCGTTTGATGACTCCCTATTTCTTGAAAACCCTTTTAGCTCATCGGCTGAGTTGGGTATTTGCCTTCCCATAAAGACTCTCTTTAAAGGGAGCCTTTGGCTCAGGACACCTGTGCTACTGAAAAGCAACATGATGATGGAATTCCTCATTGTTTTGTCTGAGACAACCGAGCACTCACCTGGGTAGGATGTAGAAAACAAAAGAAAGAGATGTGTGGACAAGGATGCCACCGGGATCGCTCCATGTTCTCCATTTTGGCTAAGACCCCTTTTGGGTCGGGGGAAAAGTTACAGTTTTGGAGATTACCTTTCTTTCAGTCCACCCAGAACGCACTTCTTTGTGCTACAAACAGCCCCAAATTGAAATCCGTCCATAGCCACTTGGGATGAGCTGACCCTCCTTAAGGCTTCCTCTGAAATGGATCTTTCTAGTGAGCTTCCAAGTCTCAGTCAAGACTATCCAACCTCAGAAAAGACCCTGTAGTTTCTTTATGGCTGTGACTAAGAGGAAGAGTAATTAAAAGTATTGAGGACAGTTGTCTGGTTCTGTGCCGGGTACTTGGTGTGCATTTTCATATTTTATACCAAATGACATACATAGGTACTATAGGATTTCTAGTATTTCTTCCATTAACCTCTCACCCCCACCCCATAACCTCCCAGCCCCATTGTGATACTTGCTGATTCTGGCCAGGAGGTTATATTTCTTAGTGAAGTAAGGTAGTTTTTAAATTGAAACACACTGTGAAAGATATGAGAAAAAAGAAAGTGGGTAGATGTGTTCAAGAGAGAACATAGCAACAAAGAAACACGGAGACAAGTAAGAGAGATAAGTATTCAAGCAAAACAGGGGCTTGAGCAAGCCTAAGAGATATTTTTAAGTGAATAATTATGATACTTCTTTGAAATTTTGAGCATATTTTTAGCTACATTGGACTTCTCTTTCCTTCCTTCCTTCCTTCCTTCCTTCCTTCCTTCCTTCCTTCCTTCCCTTCCCTTTCCTTCCCTTCCCTTCCCTTCCCTTCCCTTCCTTTCCCTTCCCTTCCCTTCCCTTCTAGTTTTTGGGCCATACCTTGCAGTGCTCAGAAATTACTTCTGGTTCTGAAGGATCATTCCTGGCAGAGCTCAGGGGTGCTGGGGGTTGAACCCAGTTTTGCCATATACCACGCAATGTCTCACTTTCTGAACTATCTCTCCAGCCTAGGAATCCCTCTTTTTTAAAAAAAAATTGATTTGGGGACAACATAGAGCCATCCTCAGGAATTACTCTTGGCTTTGTGCTCAAGGATTACTCCCTGGTAGTGCTCAGGGGAACATCAGTGGTGCTGATAATTTAACTGAGTTGCACGACAAGAACCTTAATTACCCTATAGTGAATCTCATCCTTTCTTTTACCTCTCTTAGTTCTTCTCTCTCCTTCCTTCTTTTCTTCCCCTCACCACTTTTTATTCCACTACCTATCCCAAACAAAGTTTTTTTCGGCAAGATAACCAAATCAATAAACAAATATACAAGCAATACAGATTGGGAGAAGAAACACAAAGGGTGATTAGATCAAGGAAGCTAGAGGTTAGAATGATAGCAAGAGATGGTCACTTTCTAGAGATAACAATTAGAAAACAGAGAAAGAGAATGCACTATTTGAGTAGCTGGAACCCAAACACCAAGCAGAGGGGACCAAGAACTTGGGCAATATCCCAGAAGCAGCAAAGAGGAAGTATCTCAGAAGTGTATCTCAGGCAGAGTGGCTGAAGTGAACACGGACAAGAGTAGGACAAATTCATCAAGGAGGTGGTCAGGGTCAGATCTCATAGCAGTTCGGAGATTGCTAGTTTTGAGTCTTGTCCTCAATGTGCCAGGCATATTTTAGAGGGTTTAAGGAAAATAGTGATACAATTTGATTTGATTTTTACTGTAGCACTGTAGCACTCCTCCCATTGTTCATCAATTTGCTCGAGTGGGAACCAGTAACATCTCCAATGTGAGCCTTGTTACTGTTTTTGGCATATTGAATACACCACAGGGAGCTTGCCAGGTTCTGCTGTGCGTGCTGGATACTCTTGGTTAGCTTGCCGTGCTCCCCAAGAGAGATGGAGGAATCGAACCCAGGTTGGCTGCTTTGCAAGGCAAATGCCCTACCCGCTGTGCTATTGCTCCAGCCCTGATTTCTACTGCAATGACAAATAAGAAATTGCAAATAAGAAACTGTATGTTTCATGGCGGGGTTGCTGAAGAAGACAACTGGCCTGGTAGGCTTGGCGGTCTGCGAGAGTCCGCATGAGAGGCTAAGAATTCTATACAGAAAGATTATTGATGTTCTTGAGCAAATGCCTACAAATGCAGCCTATAGGAAGTATACCAAACAGATAACAAATGAGAAGCTGGGTACGGTTAAAGCAGAACCAGATATTAAAAAATTAGAAGAAAAGCTTCAAGGGGCCAAATAGAAGAGGTGATTCTGCAGGCTGAAAACGAACTAAGTCTGGCAAGAAAAATGATGCAATGGAAGCCATGGGAGCCTTTAGTCGAAGAACCTCCTGCCAACCAATGGAAATGGCCAATATAATCATCATTAAATGTTTTGCATATTGATGGGAAACTGATGTAATTAAATGCTCTGTTATAAAATTTTTTAAAAAAAGAAACTGTATGTAATGAGAATTATGAAACTGTAATGAGAACTGAGACATTGAAACCAGACCCAATGTCAGTCGGAGAAGGGAGGAAGAGTTTTTTCTTTTTTTTTTTTTTGCTTTGTATGACTCTAGTCAGGTAAGATAAAGGCACACCGGGGAGCCCAAGGTCGGGCAGACTTAGGGAATACATGGAAGGCAACATATGAAGGTCACACCAAATGGGCACGAGGTACTGACACAGACATTTTTAATTTGTTTTGGGGGGGTATCTGAAGGCTGGGAAAGATGCTACATTTTTTTCCTTTTTTGTGGATTATATAGCTCACTCTTAAAGAATAAAAAAGAGACCCTCTTAGCAGACAGGGCTCTGAGTTTCTTTCTCTTTCAAATTGGGGTCCTCAACGCTGATCGTCTAATAAACTCACTATCCCATCCTGTGTCTCTCTCTGTTCATGCTCTCACCAGCACAGCATCTACAAAGTCTATGTAGCTGCTGTGTGAGGAATGGCTTGGAAGCAGCAGAGGGAAGCAGGCAGACTGGGCAAGGGTGCTCTTTTTTTTTTGCAGTTCTCTGGCAGACACTGCATCAAAAGTAGATGATCTTGAGAGGTCTCCCCAATCACTGGTTCTCTGAAGAGGTTTGTGTTCATACTTTGTTCTTCCTTCCCTCACCAGGTTTGATTACGAGGGTCTAGAGCCCAAGACAACCTATTACATCATGAGAGACCTGGAGGCCCTTGTCTGTGACAAGTCCTTCATTGGCCAGCAGTTTGCCGTGGGAAGCCATGTCTACAGTGTGGCAAAGACAGACAGCTTTGAATACGTGGACCCTGTGGATGGCACCGTGACTAGGAAGCAGGTACTTGTGAGGAAATCAGCAACGGAAAAGTTTATCAGGGAGAACCAGGCCTTTAAATAACCTAGGCCAGAGAGATCTCTAGGGATGATCCACTTGGAGCCATTGATTACAGATGCCAACCCTGCTGGCAGGAAAGAGGAGAGATCTTGGTGAAGGTTTTCTTACCTCTTTGAGGCAGAGAGTAGATTAGAACCTCACTCCAACTCTCTTTCCACAAACTAACTAAAGAGATGATACGATAACCAGATGCCCAACATTTTGTCAATGTGGCTGCAGCCTGCAGGCTCTTCAGGTGTTGATCAGTACTTGAAATGGATTCGAAGTTTACAAAAGCAAAAGAGTTTTTCCTTGAAACATCTAAATACAAGAATATTTCACCTTTATTATGTGTGTCATTGAGAACAAGTGGCTTAGCTTGATGGGTTCCTCCCTTAATGAAAAGAATGGTTTGAAAATTTGCTCACTCCAAAACCACTTGTATAGTTATTGGTTATTAAATAAATATGTGGCAAAATGAACCACAACTTCTTTTACCTTCACTTCGTCTTGCGTAAGAGAAGTTGGAGGTATTATAATTATTTTTGTCTCTGTTTTCTTTGTTTATAACAAGCATTGACAAATCTCATACTGTGTTACTATGTATAAACATTTACAGTATAAATAAGGCAGTAATTTTAAGAGAAGTTTCATTCTAAAATCTTCAAGTTCTTATCTTCTTGGCTATTCTTCTTTAATTACTGACAAATCCAAATCTATCAGAAACTGGGGTTTGGAAGGACTAGATTTAATGGTAGTTACTGTTGTTTTCGTTTTGCTAGCATTTCATTCATTCTGGGTCCCCTGACATTCAGATGCTCCAAAGTCTACTGCCCTCATGTTATTTTCTTGTCTGCTCTATCTGATCTACTTATTTTTGTGATGATACTTTTTCTCCTTCAAAATGTTAGTCTTTTATTCTAGAAGGCTATGTATAGCTGCCACTACCATATAATCGTGGCTGCGTGACATCTTATTATCTCATTCTTACTTTGGATGACCTGGCAGGCTACCGAATGTAACCTGCCCACACAGCAGAGTCTGGCAAACTCCCCGTAGAGTACCCAATATGCCAAATACCAGTAACAATGATAGGTCTCATTCTCCTAACCCTGATAGGGCCTTGAATGTGGCACTTTTTAAAATCTCAGGGCTAGGACGAAGGAGACGTTACTGGGGCCTGCTCGAGGCAATCGACCATATAATATTATTTTTCAAAAAAGTAAGTGGACAAAGTAGTGGTGGTAGAGAAAATTGTTGTTAAGTAGCTTCAAGACCCAGCACTGAATCCTACTCCTACTGTGTGCTTCTTGTGTGGCAACTACAGAGCTGGAGAAGTCGCTGAGTTTCTGTGAACTGTGGTTTCATTCTCAAGGAATTATTTTAGAAATGAAAGGTAAGAAAACACAGAAACTCCTACATATCCTTTGCACAAGGGCAGCTCAATAAAACTTTTGTAGTTGTCTTTTGTTTTACTCGAGGGGTAAATTCTCTCCTTAATAACATCAGGAATCTCCAGAGATGAAAATTAGGGAGAGCAACACATGTTCTCCTGGAGTCACTGTATCATATAAGTTTTTGCAGTCTTGTTCCATATTTTTGCTTCTATTTTGCACAGGGCCATCTGAATAAACTTTGTAAATCCAAGTCTGAGGTAGAGTTCAAATGCTATAAAATTAATGTTGAAAGTACCCCTGTGAAGCTTTTTAATTCCCATGGGAGGAAGGCATAAAGACTATTCTTTGAAACAATGCTAGATTTTCTAGATTTATCTGCTCACACAAAGATTATCTGTTGAATTCATTTGCTTTGGTGCTAAACCTGCAAATACTCTGCCCTGTTTCTTCTCCGATGCACTCAGCACATCAAGACATTTTTTTTTAACTCTTTGCATCTGTCTTATTCTATTAACAGTATTTCAAGTTAAGATTTCTTTTTATTCTAGTCTGTCCCTTTCCTCCCTGTTTATTGATTTCTGTTCTGTTTTTCATTCATTCATTCATTCGTCGATTGCCTCGAGCAGGCCCCAGTAACGTCTCCTTCATCCTAGCCCTGAGATTATATTCAAGGCTCTTTAGGAGAATGAGACCCTACATTGTTACTGGTATTTGGCATATTGGGTACGCCACGGGGAGTTTGCCAGACTCTGCCGTGTTGGCAGGCTACATTCGATAGCCTGCAAGTTTGTCCAAAGTTCTGTTTTTAATTTTTTTTTTTATTTTGATTTTCTATTTGGGCCATACCTGGCTATACTTGTGTTTATTCCTGGCTTTGTATTGAGAGATCATTCCTGATGAGGCTTGGAGGATTAGGTGCAGTGCCGTGCATAAAACCAGGTTGACTGTGTGTACAGCAAATATCCTACCTGATTCACTATCTGTTTGTCCCCATTTTTCTGTTTTACTCTGGAATTAATCGATTTTGATCTTTCCATTGTTCTTTATCTCATATTGAAGGTGGCCAGAAATAGATAAGTGCTATCACAATTTTGTCTAGGATATTTTTCTAGTAACAAAGGAGTTCATCTTCCTTCCCTTATGCTAGGACCCAAACGACATCTACATTAATGAATGGCCCCGTCTCACTGGAACTTTTCTTCAGGTCTGGGTTTGGCTCCATGAGGGATGATAAGAGACCAGTCAATATTCCATAGTGTCCTGATTGTCAGCAATCCACAGATACTGCTATTGGGGTGGGGTGGGGTAGGGTCGGGTGAGGTGAGGGGTTCCTGCAGAGTTGGGCTATTTCCAAACTCTTACAACTTTTCAACACTTTTGGGATATTTGTAATTATCCGCATTCAAATCCAGGGATAATTGAATCTTCAGCATGGAACCTTGTCATTACAGTGAATACTATGCATTCCTAAAAGACCTATTTGAATTTAAATGAGCTAGTTTTATTTCCAAATAGCCCATGTATTGTGGTGCATTCATACAGTAGATATTCTTGAGAGGCTATTTATGTATAATAATGGCTTTTATGGGTTAATCTAATATAAATAATCACCATATTGAGATGTAAGTCACAGTTCCTTCATTTAAGTTACACAATTTAATATTTGTAGAATGATTGTGGCGTTATGTAATGGCCAAAATCAATTTTGGAATGTACTTATTATTTCCAATAGAAACCTTTAACTCTTTCATTGTCTTCCATAACTTCTTGCCCAGATTACTTTCTATCTCTGTGGACTTTTCTATTTTGGACATTCACATATATTCTCATAAATCTCGCCTGCATGGCAGAGCCTGGCAAGCTACCGGTGACGTATTCAATATGCCAAACACAGTAACAACAAGTCTCATGATGGAGACGTTACTGGGCCCGCTCGAGCAAATCGATGAACAATGGGAGGACCGTGACCGTGACCGTGAAATCACAAAGTGTGTGATCCTTTGTGACTTGTTTCTTTTACTAGGCATGCTACTTTGAGCTGTAGTTTCAAGTACTGCAGTATCAGCACTTCAATTTATTGATGAGTAGTAGTATTATGTCGTGTGCATTTACCGTAATTTGCTTATCATTAGTCATTAGTTGATAGACATTTGCATTTTTAACACACTGTTGTGAATATTAATATACAAGTTTTGGTGCAGACATAGGTTTTCAATCCAGCCAACAAGGATTATGATTTTTGGGTCAAATAAATAACTGTTGCTTGACCTTTAGAGTAGCTGCCCCTCAGTCTTTAAAAGCAATTGAACAACAAGACCAGAGAGATAGTACAGTATCTACAGTTAGAGATAGTACGGTACAGGGTAAGGAGAGAGCTTGCATTGCATGTGGCTGACCCTAGTTCTATACCCAGCACTGCATATGGTACCCCAAGTACCACTAGGAGTGATCCCTATGTACAGAACTAGGAGTAAGCTCTGTGGATCACAAGGCATGGCCTCAAAACCCAGAAGAAAAAAAGGAAGCTGTTGCACTATTTTATACTCAGCAGTATATAAGGATTCCAACTTCTGTACTTTTATTATTTATCTATTTTTTTAAAACTTATTTTTGTTAAATCACCATGAGATACACAGTTATAAAGTTCATGGTTGGGTTGCAGTCGTACAATGTTCTGACACCCATCTCTCCACCAGTGTATATTTCCCACTGCCAAGGTCCCTGGTTTCTTCCCTGCCACCCTCCATCCTCTCAGTCTGCCTCTATAGCAGACACTTCTCTTCTTTCTGTCTCTCTCTGCTTTGGGGCATCATGGCTTGCAATAATGGGTACTGAGAGGTTATCATGTTGCTTTCCCTACTTTCAGCATGCAGGTCTTATGCAGAGTGATCATTTCCAACTAGAATTGTCACAGTGGTCTCTTCTCTATCCCAACTACCTTCTCCCCCAGCACTTGTGACAAGCTTTCAACTATGGACCAATCCCCCGCCCTTATTTCTACTGTCCTTGGGTATTAGTATCATTTCTGTACATTTTTTAAAATTTTATTGAATCACCATGAGATAGTTACAAGCTTTCATGTTTGGGTTACAATCACACAATTATCAAACACCCATCCCTCCATCAGTGCACATTCCCCACCACCAATATCCCTGGTATACCCCCCTTTCCCACCCTCCCCCTGCCTCCAGGGCAGACAATATTCCCCATACTCTCTCTCTATTTTGGGGCAGTATGGTTTGCAATACAGACACTTGAGAGGTCATCATGTTTGGTCCTTTATCTACTTTCAGCATACATCTCCCATCCTGACCAGTTCCTCAAGCCATCATTTTCTTAGTGATCCCTTCTCTATTCCAGCTGCCTTCTCCCCTTTGCTCATGAGGCAGGCTTCCAGCTATGGAGCATTTCTGTACATTTTAATAAACTCAACTCATATTATTAGTCCTTTTAATTATATAGAAAATTATAATTTTAAAATAACCTATCCATATATAATAAATTTATGAATTATTACAAAATTATTTAGAAGATGTATCCACCCGAAGAAGTAACAGAAATATTCCT